TTTTATTGGGCCATATACAGTTTGTTGCTTGATTCTGCTGGTATTTAATACCTTATTTTCACATTTTCTTGGAATCATTTCAAATAGAAAGTTGAACCTTGATAAACTCTTCATTTTAATGGCTCCAGTTCTTCCTTATCAAACAGCTTTAACTTTCTCCAACTTAAAATATCTGCTGTTATATTGTTCCAGCTCTGTGAATAATTATTTTTAAAAAGGTCTTCCTTTATTGTTGTATCTTTATTATATTAACTTCCCAGATATTTAACCTGAGAAAGCCTGTGCTTATTATAACAGATTTAGAGTTTTCCTTCTTTGCTGCCATCTGTTGATTGTCTAAATTTTGCCCAGGTTGATAGCCCACGTCTTCTGCCTGCAAATTTTGCTTCAGCCACGTATCTCCTATGGAATTTTAGTTTAGGCCTTTGGGATATATCTCATTTCGTAAATGTAGTTTAAAATACTTGGACTATTGGTTGCAATTATATTTCCACATTAGAATGTCTCAGCCTTTGATATTTCTGCTTTAAATTGTATACTCTAAAGCAGGGTTTCTCAACTTTGGCAGCTTTAAGATGTGTGGACTTTAACTCCTAGAGTTCCCCAGCCAGCTTGCTGGGGATTCTGGGAGTTAAAGTCCACACATCTTAAAGTTGCCAAGGTTGAGAAACATTACTCTAAAGTATTGCTAAAGTAATTACAAATGTAATTTTATTTTAAAGCAGTTAATTTCTTCTTACCTTTAAAATATAGTTTCAGTTTTTGTTTGTGGCTGAATGATTTCTTGCTTTTTGACTACAGAGTGGTTTAGAACCTCATGGACGTACCAAGATGATCCTTGCCAAAAGTACTATGAAACCCTCCTGATAAATCCAATTTTGGTCGTTCCTCCAACAAAGGTATTTTTTAGTTCTAATAGGTTTTCACTTTGTGTTCTATGGAAGCTATGAAAACATTCTACTGTTTAACGTTGTCTCCTGTTTTAGGCATTGGCTGTTACATTTACCAATTTTGTAACAGAGCCACTGAAGCATGTAGGAAAAGGAATCGGGGAATTTATTAGAGCACTCATGAAAGAAATTCCAGTACTTCTACAGATTCCAGTGCTAATCATAATGGCAGGGGCAACTTTGGTAAGTACTTGCATGAAGGAGAGTCATCTGGAATCTTGGGCTCTGTTGTCCCACAGTACAGGATATCAGCTCCCAAAAGACCAATTTGGTTTGCATGTTAGGAAAAAAAATTATATCAGCATGAGCAGTTCAATGGTGGGACTAATTACTAATAAGGTTTAGTCCCCTTTGCTTGACATGTTCAGTTGGGTTTCCTGGGTTAACGGGTTGAACTCAGCAGCCTAAATAGCCCATCCCAATTCTGTGATTCAGTGCATCTCTTTTGTGTATGACCTAACATTGCACCAGTGAATTTAATATGAGGAAAACAGATGTAACTGACATTGAACTTGGATACTTAATAAGCCTCCAAATAGCTTTTTGTGAATTTCCCATGGTGCCACTTACTACACAAAAGGTTGGAGGGACAACTCATGTACAAAAGGGTAGGTAATTTATCCTGGACCCAAAACTGGTGTATTAATTAAAATTAATGCAGTGTACCATGATAAAAATAATGTTGTTGCATCTACAGAGATTGATCTAACAGTGGTTAATAATCCATCATATATTCATATTCTAAAAGGTTCAGATAAATATTAAAAAAAAAGTTAGCAGCTCTTCCTGCAAGACCGGAAGAAATGCCATTTAAATATTCTGGATAGTAAAGGTTGGAAGCAAATACTTGAGAAAATACTGTTTAATAAGAAATGTTAAAATATATAGTGTCCCTTTTGGGTACAGGTGGATCATATCCAACAATGCCCTTCTGTCAGCAGGAAACTTGGTTGCTGGATCAAATTCCCCTTGTTCTGCACCTTTAGTTCATGTCACCAATTACTCTGGAACTTTAGGGGATCCTCCAAAAAAGACTTTGGTGGTGTGGCAGGGGGTAGGGGCTTTAGTAGGAAAGACAGGAAAACCACTACTGGATAAGTTGAAATCACTGCATATAACAATGTAAAGACTTTAATAAATGTGAAGGTTGGAATTGCAACATTTTGTTGGGGAGCTTATCCAAGTGTCTCTTTTCTAGATTTTCTGCTATGGGGCAGGAAGATCCGTCACGGCACTAAGAGGTTTATCGTACCAGGAAAGGCCGCAGCCTCCTGCTCTTCCCCCAAGTGGTGGAAATCAGTTACTGCCAATACAGCAGAGTGGGGCAGATGGCAAGGGAGACTACTTGTCCGAAAACGCAGATTACATCCCAGGAGGCCCTTATGATAGAGGAGATGCATCCAGAAGAAACAGGCAAACCAGATCTAAAGGTGATCCTAACGATGACATCATGGTTGTGCGACCCGGCAATACATTGGATGTCCCAGCAGAAGAGCATTCCAAGTTGGCAGCCAAGGTAATCAGAGGGATGCAGGTTTCAGTTCCAATTAAATTTGGGGGAGTTAATATTTATCCACTAACCTACTCGGTTTATACACCACTGCATCCTTAGAGACCACTGCACTCTTCAAGACATTAAAAGGCAAAATCCACAAAGCAAGACATATAGTTAAAAGGAAAATCCACAATGTGATAAAGTATTACTTGGCATTTGTCCTCCGGCAGTAGTATTAACAGTTCAAGGCTCTATAAAACAGCTCAGACAACAAATTAATTTTGCAACCCACCTTTTAAAGTTATTTCTAATAAAGGCTCCCAGTTAAAACAAGATAATTTCCAGTGTGAGCAAATCTACTTTAAGGGGGTTGTTTTGTGGCTCAGACGTTTGACTGAACCATTCTAAGGTGGGTGTTGCAGTTTGGTGGACCTGAAACCTTGGTTATTCGAGGTTTGGGCCAGGAGGTGGAGAATGGAAAGCAATGCGAAGATCAAGAGAATGGGTAGGCAGACTGGTTGGAGATGTCATGATTGAATTAAAGGACAGTGGTGCATGGCAGCTGCAGTGTATCCTGCCATCCCCTTCACCCATTTTCCCAGGACCTACCTTTCTTCCTTACTCTCAGTCACTACCATGTGACCACTGATGGCTTTGCCTTTTTCCCTGCTTCTGTCCAGAATACAGATTTTGGTCCAAATATGGATCATCAAAAACTGGCTGTTCCATCTATGGAATGCTTTGCACATATCTATAATATTATAATTAATAAGGAGACATTAGCTAGCACTTTTGAAGTGTGTGCATTTATAAATAGCATTTAATGATGTTGGAATGCATTTTACCTGACTTCAGAAAAATATTATGGATTACATTAAGGAAGAATAACAGTGCAATCCTATATATGTATATTTAGAAGAAAGCCCCACTAACTTCAGTGGGATCCACTCCCAAGTGAATTGCTATAAGATTGCATCCTTATTTGATTACTTGTGTTTGTGGATAAATATATCTTTGAGAAGAACAATAGAGTACAAACAAAGAACAGTGAATCATTTCTAGTAAATCAATATGGGATTTGTTTGTAGGAAAAATATACTTATATAAAAATCAGTTTCCTTTGAAAAGTTTTAAGAAAAACACTTTCTATTTAGTATATTGGAATATTTAAAAGAAGTGAATAATTGAGATTAAAAGAGTTTTTAATTTAAATATATAAATGTATCTTATTCATTAGAAGTTTCAGACCTTATAATTTCTTAGACTGCATAATCTTCAAATGACACAAACTGCTATTAGTTTATGTAATGTTGGTTATTACTTAAATAATTCATTGATACCAGAACTTCTTACAGAGTGAATTGAATCCTAAGGCACAGAATCAGACTAGTGATGTAATGGAGAAAACCAACACAGATCCAAACCTGGATAAAACAAACCTTGTTGAACCTAGCCAAGTGCAAAAGCATTCAGAAGGCAATGAAAATGAAGCCAAACATGGCGGCAGTGAAGACACCAATGTGAAGCAAAATGCTCTGGAAACCACGGAATTTAAGAGGAAAGAGAGCAGCTCATGTGGATTGGAAGAATCCAGAGAGAGGATTGTAGAAAACTTGAGTCCTTCTGTAAGTTTAAAAAGGATTCTCTCCTGTGTATCTTAGAAGGGGAAGCCAATTTGGCCTCCCTTGACAAGGAAATGATAATGAGTAAATGTAGAATATACCCTGTGTGCCTACAGTCTATCCCTACGTTGTACAGGGATAGGAAGACATGCACGCAGGGGCCAATGAAGGTGCTTGATAGTTGATTCCTTTTTTTAGAGTAAGAGGACTAGTTAAGTTGTAAGTTGTATAATTTTAATACCATTTCAGGAAAGGAGTGAAAGCAGTGAATACTGCTTTTTCTGTTTTACATAGCATTTTCCAAAAGTTTCAGCTGTTCTCCTGATGTCTTTAGTGGTTCACCAGGAGAAGAGAAAAGAGTGATTTTAAACCTGTTGACAAATGTCATTTTTTAAAAACTTAATTTCAATTTTTGTGTGTTGTAAAGTATATATTTTACTCATAAAGAAAAAATAATCTATTTATTAGATAACTAGTTAAGTGGAAATGCCATAGCAGCATTTTAACAGTACCATGGACTGATTTCAGGCTTCAGTTATGGAATTGGGCAGCATAATTCATTTAATATTAAATAAATAACCATTCTGAGCTCATGGTGTGCTTGACAGTGAAAACAGGGAGGCAGTCTTTTTTCCTGCTTGTACTCTTTGAACATCTACTCCAGGTGGCTGGGAAACCACAGTTTTAAACAGTACGGAAAGTGGTGTTGGGGATTTTAGGGAGAGAAGACAAACTGGCAGAAGTCACTGTGATCTCCCCACTGCAATGGAGCTTTCCATGATGAGAGTATTTGCTTTAAAAAGACAGCAAACTAAATCCAACTTATTTTTCTCTGTTGTGAAATTAATGATCTGGCAATAGCAATTCTTATGAAGTTTATGGAAAATAAGCATTCACAGGATGCTCTGTCATACTGTATTATGAAGCATGTGGGGAAGAAAAGATTTCCAAGTCTTCAATGTTGTTTGCTGATATACAATGACTTCCTGTACATCTAGTAGAATAGTTGGCAACCTTTAAAAGATTGGGTTTAATTAACCCTTCAGTGGGATTCACTTCTAAGTAATTCTTCATAAAGGTTAGAGACTGACATTTTTTAAATGGACATTTTTAATAGAAAAAGTACATTGTGTAACATCCAACTGTATCTACACATGTTTGCAATATTCAGCTTTCTGTGTCATATTTTTCTGGTTCTGTTTCCACTCATTTCTCTCCCACTGAAAAAAAAATTCCCTACACAGGGCTTGAGATGCGCGTTTAGTATGTCTTAAGCAGGGAAACAGTTGAAGGAGAAAGATCAAGTTGGTAGCTATACTAGCCCTCTTCTGTCATACAGATTTAAAAATAAAGGGCTGAAGAATCTATTCAAAGATTTTGTATAGCTTTTTTTACCACTTTGGACTTTGAAAAAATAGGAGGGCACCAGAATTCATATTGTAGATTATTAATTAAATTTTTGACTCCCCAGTATAGCAGAGGATGTGGCTTGTGAAGACATTTGGCAGAAGGCTTTTAAATAATTGAAATCTTCTCCTTACAGGAACAGTATCAGAGGAACACTGCTTCCTGACAGACCTCTACTTTACCAGATAGAAGCTTTTTTAAAAATTACTTTTAATAAAAAGAATTCATCATTCTGAAATGAGAAAATGATTCACTTTGTAAGTCTCTATACCCCAGTACTTTGCTGCATCTTGATTAATACAGGCATATTTCTAAATTACGTTTATCAGGATGTTTTCTCCTGACAGCTTCACGGCATTCTGAAAGCATCTTATAGGAGAATTATATTTTAAATATATAAAACATGTGGAAGAATTTTGTACATATTGCTTGACAGTGAAATAAAGGCTTCAACAAACATGGGACTTTACTGTAATTTGTACTGTGTTCATTAATATTCCAATGAATATAACAACTAATTCATTTTAGTTATTTACAGTCCAAGAGCAATCATAAAAGTGAAGTTAGGCCTTAAATTAGCTTAATCAAACTTAAGTTAGGCCTTCGGGAACAGTTGGGATTATTGCTGGTCTACCGCCCTCCCTGCTGCCCAGCATCATCCTTGCTTGAGCTGCTAGATTCCATCGCTGGGTTGGTGGTGGAGTCCCTGAGGCTGATGGTCCTTGGTTACCTTAACCTGCCACCTGGTGATGTTGAGTCCAGGGCGACTCAGGAGTTCTTGGCCTCCATGGCAACCATAAACCTGTCCCAAATTATAGAAGGCCCATTGCATGCTGGAAGTTGCACATTACATGTGGTTTTTGTCTCGGGGCAGTTGCAGTGTGATCTGGTATTGGAGGACATTAACAGTCTGTTGCCACAGACAAATCTTCGTTTGCCCTCCAACTCACTGGCACCACCCATCTATGCAGGGAGGGAGGGCCTATAAAATTGGCCCTCCCCAGATGACTGATGGACCCTTCTTGGTTCCAGAGGGAGCTTGGGAGGTTTTCCCAAGGACCTGTCAGACAGTTTGGCCAAGGCCTTGGCTTCAGCCTGGAATAGGTATGTGACTGAGGCCCTGGACTGGATTGCTCCTATGCAGCCTCTCTGTGCGCTGATCCTGGGGTGCTGCTTAAGTCTCCGAAGAGCTTCAGGAGATGAAATGCCAGAACCAACACCTAGAGTGCCATTGGAGAAAGACAAAGAATGAGACCATATGCAGGCCTATAGTGTGGCAATAAAGGCTAAACGTCGCTATGTCTCCACCTTTATTGTGTTACCTGGAATTTTAGGCTTCATTAGCTTTATAATAAAGGTTATATTAGCATTTTAGCATGGCAGTCTATGCCTCTCTTTAGGTTTAGGAAACCATGATTTTCCTTTGAGCCAAAAGCCATTTCCTTTGATGTGTGAAAACTAGCTTTTTCAGAAACTAAACAATAGTGCTGTATTCTGAAGTCCTTGAGTGTTGGAAGTATTAAAGACTTCGATGAGAAAGGAGGAGATGCAACGTATTTTAAGGGTGTCTGTCTTTTCTCAGGTCTAATCAATGTTTTTTATTTGATTTGTTGCTTTCTGATGTATGACATATATTAAATGTATGTATCATTTGTTTCTGCACCCTATATAAAAACTTGACCCCCCCCCCTTAATAAAATGCTTTTCACTTTGCCTGAAGTACTTCTGGTTCATATTGCTTGAGGGTGGGGGGGACGAAAAAGCTACTTTGCAAAGTTATAGAGTGTTTCTCAAATTCAGGAATTAGGTTTTTCCAGCTCCACGCCACTCAGGTGCCTGAGTTTCTTAGGCAACAATTGCATCTGCCGATAGCCGCTCAGTGGTCTTGTTTAGGTGCCCCTGCTCCCTGGTGGGTGGGTGGGGGGAGCTGGGCTGCAGCAGCATCTCCAGGGTCGTGGTAAGGAATATTCATGCTATCTGACAGGCAAAGTTGCTCAGATTTGCTTGGGGTTGGATATCCACCTGGGCAAATCCCAATGAGGTGTCCAGGGCACAGTCTTGTGATGTTATTTGAACTGAGTTTGATTGTTACACCCGAGGAAGTAGACAAGTTCCTCTGTCTGTTAGTCCAGCCACTTATTTGTTCAATCCTGGCCCCTCCTGGGTTATTAAAGCAGCCCAGGAGGTGACCAAAGGGTGAGTTCATACAGTGGTTTCAGCCTCTTTGAAAGGGGGTGGTCCCACCAGCCTTGAAGGGGACAGTGATATGCCCCCTCCTCAGGAGGTCATTGCTGGATCCTTCCCTGTTGGAGAATTATTGGCCAGTTTCCAATCTTCCCTTTTTGTGGAAAGTTGTGGAAAAGGTTGGACAACAGTTACAGAGGATCTTGGAGGAAACAGATTATCTGGAACCATTTCAGTTTGGCTTCAGGCTAGGGTACAGTATAGAGAGAGCGTGGGTTGCACTTGCTGATGACCGTTGGTGGAGGCAGGATGGGGGTGATGCATCTATCCTGGTGCTCCTTGAGTTCTCAGTGGCTTTTGATACTGTCGACCACAGTATCCTTCTGGACCAGCTGCAGGGGTTAGGAGTGGGAGGCTCTGTGTTCCAGTGGTTCACCTTCCTCAGCGGTTGGTTCCAGTTGGTGTTGGGGGGGGGAGAGAGATAACGTCCATGGCCCCTCGTGGGTGGGGTGCCTCAGGGCTCGACACTCCCCTCTCTTGTCCATCTGCATGAAACCACTGGGTGAGGACATCTACCAGTTTGGAGTGCGGTATCATCAGTACACTGCTGATACCCAGCTGTACATCTCAATCCCAAGTGGCACAAGTAAAGCTATTGATGTATTGGCCCAGTGTCTGGAGGCTGTTCGGGTCTGGATGGGGGTGGAACAGACTTTGGCTCAATGCTAACAAGGCTGAATGACTGTGGCTGTTTGGACCCTCGGGGTCAGGGATGTTACTATCCTTGGCACTGCACTTCCCCATTCAAGACTAGGGTGCAACTTGGGAGTCTTTCTGGAGTGGCTGCTACTGCTCAAAGAGCAGGGGGCAGCCGTGGCCAGGAGGGCCTTTGTATGGGTTCATTTTGTGCACCATGTGAGCCCTTTCCTCGATTGGAAGACTCTTCAGACACTCATGCTCTGGTCACTCATGATTGGATTATTGTTATGGGTCTGCCCTTGAAGACCCTCCAGAAGCTACAGCTGGTTCAGAATGCAGCAGCACAAGCAGTAATGGGTCCCTCGCAGTGTGCCCATATGTCACCACTGCTATATGAGCTGTATTGGCTGCCAGTTAGCTTCTGGGTGCAATTCAAGTTGCTGGTTAGTACCTATAAAGCCCTGTATGGCACAGGGCCTGGATACCTGAGACACCACTTGTCTCCAATAGTTTCTGCCCACTCATGTTCCAGTAGAGTAGATGCGCTCCAGCTCCCCTCCATTAAACACTGTCATCTTGTGGGACCTTGGAAGCAGGCCTTCTCTGCTGCAGTCCCCACCCTCTTGGACAGCATCCCCCCAGAGATAAGGATATCACCCTCTCTCGTAGGGTTCCAGAAAGCTCTGAAAGCCTGGCTTTGGTCCCAGGCCTGGGGTTGATGTTTATGATTTGTCTAAGGCCCCTGTTTTGTTTTGTTGTTCATCAAAATGTTTTAGTCTGGGCTATTGTCTAATTTTATGTTTTTAGCTATTACATTTTTTTTCTAGTTTTTGTATGCCAGCCAAAGTCCACTGGAGTTGGGTGGCCAACAAATGTAAATAAATAAATAAAATTCAAATAAATAAATGTTCTGCAAATACAGTGAATAAAAGAAATACTGTTTCCACAAGAGGCCTGGGACACAGAACCCTTACCCTTGGATGGCTACACTTACTCCCTTTTGGCTAGACCTAATCAGAAAGTTGGCCTTCCATTAGCATTTTAATTTCTGATATGCTGCATCTCTATGCTCTTATCTACTGCTTTTTGTGAACAATTAACCATAGCTATTCTTCTTATAGATGGTCAAACTAATCTGCTCCTGATAGAAGTTTATTTCCCACCTTGCAGTTACAACTCCCAGACTGTTGTTGGGACTGCTTTGAATCCTGGCTGTTACCCTTAATCTCCTAATTCCAAAATTCAATAGTAATAATTGCCAGTGACTTCAATGTTAAGATGTGGGAACAATGACAAGGTTCTTTTACAGCATTACAATGTTCCATGTTCTTTCTCAATTTGGGGAATCTCCTAGAAACTGAAGGGGCCTGGTATAAATAAAGGAGCTGGGGATTTTTTTTTAAAATTAGTAATTAAATTTGATTTCAAGATACTAAATGGATCCATGTCAGGGAACTCAAGGTGAACTTACTTTTGGGGGCCCCAGAGGGGCACCCACTCTAGACTATTAATCACCAGCATCTTTACCCCTTGCTGTAAAAAGGGTTTCAATGTGATCTTTCACCTAGAGGGCAACCACTTACCAATGGTGGGTCTCTTTGTTCTTAGTCTAACTGAACCAAATTGTCCATTACAAAGAAAGGATTCAACCCCCACTGAGACCAGTTTGGACCAGTAGATTGTCCATGGTCTCTTCTTAAACTATGCCCTACTGGCTACTCATAGGTGTAGCCCATAGGCATAGTATCTACCATCATCAGCCTTATTTGCAATCTGCCCAGATTCCCTCTTTGCAGCTTAATAATCAATCCAAATCCTAAAGCCCAAGTACAGGTAGCCCTTGTTTAATGACAATTAGGACCGGAATTTAGGTTGCTAAGCGATGTGGTCATTAAGCAAATTATCACATGACCACTTTGCTAGTGACTGCAATCCCAGCAGTCCTGGGTGCCATCGTTAAGTGAATGTCCCGGTCGTTAGGTGAGGCAACTTCCTGCCAGCTTCCCACAATCAAGTCAGTAGAGAAGTTGGCAGGCTATTGCAAGCCCCAGGTGCTGCTGG